TTTAAATAGGGATTCGGATTGAAGCGTTTCTGATATTTCATTTCTCCTAAGAATTGATTTGATGCTGTTATCCCTGAAGCAGAAGAAATGGAGTATGCGGATAAACAAATGGATAAACATTCTTTCTCTCACACTGTTTAATGCACTGGGCTTTGTCAGGACAGGTAAGAACAGCTATCAAGCAATAAGTGATAGCTGTTTCAGATGCATCAAACCATTTTAATCTTTTTTAAAAGGTTTTATTTATTTTATTTTTAGATAGAGGGGGAGGGAGGGAGAAAGAGAGGGAGAGAGACATCAATGTGTGGTTGCCTCTCCGGCGCCCTCTATTGGGGAACATGACCCACAACTGAGACATGTGCCCTGACTGGACATTGAACCGGTGGTCCTGTGGTTTGCAGGCCAGTGCTCAATTCACTGAGCCACACCAGCCAGGGCCCATTTTAATTTTTTATACACGCTCATTTCTTAGATATTTGCAACTTGCACCCAACGAGCTGTCTTTAAGCATAGTGCCAATTCAGGATGCTTTGGGTCACTTTACTTCAAACCCTCCATGTATGAGTACAGAAGCTTCCTCATCATACCACCAATGGTCCAGGGCCTTACCCTCCTTTTGTTGGCATTTAAGGGCATGGAGCAGGTATGGAGGAGGGGATGTCCAGGAACACAGGATGTGTTAGTTGGATGCTATCAAAGCCCTCTGGGACCGTCAGGGATCCTTTCTGAGTGCTCATTGTGGGTGGAGATAAGAGAGTGGCGTCCAGATCCCAAGTGGCCTTCAATACCTTCATTCTGGTCTTGTGGTTACAATGACCATACTGCCTAGTTTGTCCACAACATTCCAGTTCATGTCTATTGCCCTTATTGTTCTAGTATAATTGGTTCGTTTATCACTCTCAAGTGTCCCAGTTTGGGCAATAAATTACAGGGTGACCCTGCATGTGGTAGAACTTTGACAGATCCAACCACTTGGGTTGTTTTCCTTTATCAGCTCCCTGTTCTCCTGCCTACTTTGTGCGTAACCTCCTTTCCTCCTCTCCTGGCCCTGCTAACCCCAAATATTTTCAGATCCAGGAATTCCTTTCTCCTTCTCTTCATGCTACGGGAAACTCCTCCCCCTCAAAGCCACCCTTCTATCTCCTGCTCCTTCCTTCATTTGCTTCTTCCGCAGTAAACTTTAGACCCAGACAATACTGGTATGCAACCTGCACAGAGGGTTGGCAAAAACTGCTTGGACAGCCTCGTGCCATAGTCATTAAACATTTAAAAACCACCCCTGGGCCTTGGCCAGGTGACTCGGTTTGCTGGAACATCATCCCATATACCAAAATGTTGTGAGTTCCATCCCCAGTCAAGGCACATACCTAGGTTGCAGGTTCCATCCCTGCTCGGGGCACATGCAGAAGTCAGCTGATCCATGTATCTCACATTATTGTCTCTCTCTCCCTCTCTCCCTCCCTCCCTAAAATCAATAAATATATATCCTAGAGTGAGGACTGAAAAAAAATCCCTGATCCAGAGACCATCAACAAAGGAGTCTCTCCGACTTGCTCAACCAGTGCATCATAGCAGACAGGACCCAAACATTCATTTTTCTGGAGCTCCACAGGTGACTCTCCGAGGGGTCACTGACTAGTCCTGGCTGCATACACACTGGGCGCCTTGCACGCCATATCACTTAATCCCTATAGTCCCAGACAGGTAGTGCAGTGTAGTCATTAAAAGCACAAGGTGTGCTTGGTGGGGAGAGGGTGGTATAAGGGGACTAAATGGTAGTTGGAAAAAATACTATAAAACAAAAAATGGAATAATTGTGAAAAAGAGAAAAGAAACTAACCCACTAGGGCAGTGATTTTCAATTGGTATGCTTCAAGAGTTTTTAAAACATGCAATACCTCTTTTCCTAGATTGTCAAATAAAAAAATGACAACAGTCAACACAATAGCCATCTAGTATGAATAGCCTGTCTTGAACCATTAAATATTTAGGTCATATAGTAGAGTTGCATTTTATCGATCACATTGTGTAAGTTTGGCTTAATTTTTGGTGCCAGAAATTCTTATATGAGGTCTGTCTGAAAAAAGTCTAGCCGTTGTTAATATAACAAAAATGGTTTGTGTGACATTGATGTAACCTGGCAGCCAAGGAGAGTGGACTGAAATGTGCATGTGTGAATAATGAGGATTTGCTGTACTAGTCAGTGGGGTCGTAGGCACTATTGAGTGAGTGTGTGTACTGTGTGGCTGTGGCATTCAAAGTGACTGAGCGAGTAGAGCAATGACTCTACATCCAATTTTGCGTTAAGTTTGAACATTCCCCTACAGAAACTACTGGTATGATTCAGAATGCTTCAGCTATGGGCAGCTGGCGATTGGTAGCATCATCACGACCATGTGCCCACTCATGGATCACATCTCCTGCAGAGATTTTGGTGAAATATCAAATTGCCCAGGTGGCTCAGCCCCCCTACAGCCCAGATTTGGTGCCAAGTGACTTCTGGCTTTTCCCCAAACTAAAATCAGCTTTGAAAGGGAAGCGATTTCAGACTATCAGTGAGATTCAGGAATATGTGACAGGGCAGCTGATGGAGACTGGAACTGTGTGCGGTCCTAAGGTGCCTACTTTGCAGAGGACTGAGGCATCATTTATCCTATGTACAATGCTTCTTATGCCTTTAATCTTCAAAAATGTCTCTATTTTTCATATTACATGGCTGGATGCCTTTTGGACAGACCTCATATACAAGTATAGGAACCTGATAGCTTAAAGTCACTTTAAGTAAAAAGGATAGGTAATTATTTTTTTTAATAAATCAATCAAAAGTATACCTATTTTTGTCAGATTGGGAAAATGGTATTTTTTGGTATAATACACAATTTTAGTAGTTTATGCATGCTGTGAGATTAAAAAGGTTGAAAATCACTGCCCTGGGGCTTAAATCTGGGTTCCAACACTTACTATGTAATCTTTGAAAAGTTACTTTTGATCTCCATGTTTCCACTCAACTGTGGTTAACAGTACTCATCCTCAGACCTGTGCTAAATATTCAGTAAGCTAATACTCATAAAATACCCAGATTGATGCCTAGCCCGGTAACTGGTTTTGTTAGCAATTGTTACCTGCTTTCCGGTTAAGTGCATTTCCAAGCCCACATGGCTAGTGGTGATGCTGAGACCACATGCAGGTTTTCTAACTCCACGTTTTCTCATGCCGCTACTTCCCCAGTGCTCCCCTATATATAATAAAAAGCAGTAATAGGCCAATGAATGGTATAGGACATACTTTATTTTATAATGTGACACCATGTAACAGTCACCTTTACAGCTGTCTACCCACAGTAGAGATTTGAATAGAGAAAATGGCTCAGAAATAGCACTATTAGTGATTCAAGTATTGATCTTTATTTGATAAAGGACAGTAGTTTCAATGATTGATTTTCCAGTTTTAAAATGCAATTTTACACTGTTTTTTCCTTTAAAATAACTGTTTTGAACTAAATACAAACTAGGTATATTCATATAATGAAACTGCATTTGAAAACAAGCTTAAAAATTTCCTATGTCAGTCAATTTTGTTCTTCTCAGTATTAAACACGCCTGATTCCGTCACCATACTGAATGCCTCTGCATCTTTCACGCCATTTCCAGGGGACTTCCTGGGAAGTAACGATGTCTGTCTCTCCTCAGACAGACAGTGCTAACCTGGAACTTTTCTTACCACATTCCCCAAAGTTCCTACAACCCACACCTTCTGCTCTTTTGAGATAGGATTCCTACTGACACTAGGATTTTGAAAACCCAAATTCTAAGCTTGCTTCATAAACTACAGAATAATCTTAAAACTAGGTCATGAAATTTCCTCAGGCCTCCACTTGCAATTGCAACAAGCAAAATCATCCTTGTTGTCTTTTATCATTTTATCTCCACAGTAACCCTCATAGTTAAGTAAGGCAGCATTACAACCACTTAGAGAGAAAAGTCCATCTCAAAGAGATGGATCTCTTAGGTAGTTAGTATGACAGAATTAAACTTACACAATTCTGTTCAGGACCCCGATTCTGGTATTTGGTGTCTTCGTAAATTTATTAAATGAAGCGTCAACTTCCAAGTGCCTTGCAATGTCACAGTTTTCACTTCTACTTGCTGTTTTTTTTCAATCGGCATTTAAATTAGAAAGTATACACAGGGTCTGGCACAAGTAAAGCCCCTTTTTATTACAAAATCTTGTATTAGAAAATCATAAGCTTGTAATTTTGTAACATAACAGTATCACAGTCAAGCACACCATATGACAGTCAATGAAATGTTCAAATTAAAACTGTAAATTATTACACCCATATTACCCTACCAACCACACTCAAGCAAGTCTTACTTCTGCCAGACCCTGTATATCTATCTGGTCACCAAATTTTGTTTATTGTGATTCTTTGATTTAACAAAGTTTGTGTTTTTACATTAAGTCTGAAGTTAACTTTTTAGATAGCTTCCACTTCCGCCTGCCTCCCTGAAAGCTTTTGGAGTTACATGTTTGCCAAAGTAGAGATTTGCTAAAATTTTGTAAACACCAAATAATGCTTTTTTAATAATTATTTTGTTATTTTTTATAACTATTTTGTTATTTCAAAACTACAAAAGCCCTTACTAGTCCGTATCCCCAGAGTAGCGGTGAAGACGCCTTTCCCATTTATTTTGTGTGCAGTCTCTTCTCTGCTTGCAGGTGCTGTTCCACCTCACTGTCGAGCCTCCCCTTCCCCAACCCGCAAACGCTGGGCTTGGGAGGCGGGAAAGCCCTTCCTTTCACTACCCACAGGGAAAATACACTAACCACCTAAATTGGAAGATGGAATTTTAAAGGTTAAATGAGGGATTCAGGACATTTCCCAAGAGGTCATATGACCAACTTAACAGCTGGTATGATGTGCTTAAAATAACACATTAACTTTTACTTGTAATATATTTATACAAATGCTATGTAGTCATGCTGATACTACATAAAAATTAAAGTTGAAAACAAAATTTATTTTATCAGTAGTCCTAAAAATGCAGCAGAGCTCAATAAATAGGATGCTCTCACAAGGAGGAAGCTTTAAACATTAGGTAAGGTATATAATTTAATATGCTAAAAATGAGAAGACAAACAAGGCAAGGGGACAGGGAGTACATAGAAAAATAACTTCATGATTTCCTTCATTTTGACTGTATTGCTTTCTTGTCTCTAGGAGGGAAGACTTGGACGTCAAAAGTAACAAAATATTTGAGAAGAGAATTTACATCCTTCTGTTCTAGATGGTATTCTTCTGCTATTTTCTCAGCAGTCCATGTATCTGGATGAAGTTTATGATTGTTGAGAAGTGTCAGTGCCTCTACAATGGAAATTTTGCCTTTGGGAATGTTCTCAATACTTATGTCAAAGTGATGGCCCTTGGGCAATCGGAACTCCTTTGGCTCTGGACGTGTTCCAGCATCTTCTACCTAGTAGGAAAAGACAGACAAATAAAAAGGCTTTCAAGATGAGAGAAAAGATTTGACACCTACAGCATGCTTCTCAAATCCACAAATGCATACTATACCTGCTTCTCCAAAACACATTTTCTCATTATAATGGCATTCTGGCCACATCGCCGCCATTAAATAACTATAGTTCAATCATTAAGAAATTAAGGTAATTCTAGAAAATAACACTCAAATGTATACCATCTACTCACATCATTTCATTTGTATATTAAAAGAGCAATAACTTGAATAGATCAAGACTGCTTCAGAAGGGCAGGGCTCTGATGTGGCCTTATCATCTCCATTCTGTTTCCTAGTTTGCCATTTATATCCAAATGCTGTGAATACATTTAAATGCTGCTAGAGATTTTGCCTCTGGAGAGAAAATAAATGAATGCTTCTAATACTCAAGCAAACAAAAACGAAACATTCTGTGCACATCCACCTTCCTATCTGCCTGCCCTGTCCAAGCTGCGCTTCATTCCTGTTGCCTCGTTCTGCACCGTCATGCCCTTGTACTTTCACCCCACCCTGCCTAACGCTGCTGTTTGGTCAAAATATAAAAATGCTCCAGTCACCTTTTAAAAATACGCACAAACCCAAAACCAACACTTCCTTCTTTTTAGTTAAGCTTTACAACATAATGGGTTTTGGTGACACCTAATCCAGAGGATTAGATGTTAATCCAGAAGGCACTGTTCAGGCGTCCTCTGAAGTCACCGCAGCATCTGACACTGGGTTTCAGCGCCACCCTCCTCCCAGTGTTCCACCTGTCTCTCCAGTGGTCCCTTTGTCATTTGTTCCTGGGCTCTTTCCCTGAAGCTGCCCCTTAAATGTGGGTGTGCTGCAGACTGTGGCCCAGGCCCTCCTGTCACCCTGCACTCTATTGCTCTTCCCAAGTAAGCCCACATCACGCCTGCACTTTCATCACTACCCAAATTACTTCCAAAGGTGATTGCAAACCCGTACCTTTCTCCTTACTTTCAGACCCAAACTCCCAAATGCCGAATGGGCATCTCTACTTAATCTACAAATACCTCCAAACAAACACGTTTAAAACTAAACTTATCCCTTTCCTCTGAAAACCCAATTCTATCCCCTCATTCTCTCTCTCAACACCACCCACTTCCCATATCCCATTCTGAAACTCAAAACTTCTCCCATGTCCTGTATACTGACACCTCCCTCTTCCTCACTCCTAATATCCAATCAGTGACAAAGTCCTATTGATACTGCCTCCAAGGTCCCTCTGGAAGCCATTCACTTCTCTCCCAATTACTAAATCACTTTAGTCCAAGCCAATGTGTCTGGAAGAAACTACTACAAAAGCTTCTTAACTGGTCTCCTTTAATTGGATAAAACACAGTTTGTTCTCTCCCAGCCCATTCTCAAAATGGTCCGCTATGAAGCAAATCTCAAGTCAGTTTTCCACAAGACTCTTCAATGACTTCGCTTAGCCACAGGACAAACCCCAAATTTCTTAGCAAGACAAAAAAGGACCTCCGTGCTCTGGCTCCCATCATCCCCACCCCACCTCATTTCTCCCAAATTCATCCCTCACACCTCCCCATAACTATTCTGAACTCTGACCCTACTCCAAAGGTGTGATATGATCTCGTACCTTTGTACTGAAACTATGGCCTGAAACACTCTTCCCAACTTCACTTTCCAAAATTGAAAGCTCCCATGTAGACCAATTTCAATTACACTCAAAATCCAAGTGGAACTTATTAAAGAACCTGATACTCTGCCTCAAGTTTACCTAGAAAAAAATGTGTGACAAGAGCTAAGAAATTTTTGAAAAGAGAGAGAAGGTCTAATGCATATCAAGATACATTATAAACCTCTATAAATTTATAAAATCTGATTCTAACATAGAAATAGAAAAATCAATAAATAAAACTGAAATCTATAAACAGACTAGTATGTATATATATTAGTATTTTAAAGGAATGAGAAAAGGACTGGGTTACTTAATAAATTATGTTTAGACAATGGACCATTCAGCTAAAAAAATCTTCACACATCACTGCACTTAATGGCAAACAAAAATGTTGACAAAATATACAGTAATATAAGTACTAGTGGAAAAAATTCAGAATACTGTTTTTATGTTAGAGTGAGCCCAGGCTTCCTAAAGCACAAAGGACAAAAAGGCGTTATTTCACAGACTTCTGAACAATAATAAATTAAAAAGCCAAATCAAAAATAATCATTTCACATAAGGTATGCACACTCACTGATGTCTAGAGGCATCACAATGTACTGCCAAAAAGAAAAAAAGGGACAAAGAACATAAATAGGTACCTCAAACTTTTTAAAAATCAGTCCCCATGAGCCTTTTTAGACTTCCCTAATAATGCCTTTAAATTCTAATATCACCGTATATCTCTTTATGCATTGTATCTCTATATGGTTTATATGTAAAAAGCATTACATATTTTTTGCTCCCCAAGAGCCACTTTTCAAATGCATGATTTAGTGTAACATGAGAAAAACAACACTTGGAAATATTACTCAACAACTGCCTAAAAATAACAAAGAATATGAACATCAACTTCTATTATCTTTTTTATGTGAGCATGTGGTGATAACTGAACCTGGTAACTGCTGTTACATGTAATAATTTTAAACCTTTATTTTATGTGAGTTTTATTTCTCTTCTCTATCAAAAGTTATACTAATAACTATACCTGTACAGTGCATTGCCTATCCAGAGAGAAGTGAGAACCAGAAAATTTTATAATGGAAAGAAATTTGGAAGTTGTCACAGGCACTTGCCTCTCCTTTGATCAAACTCTTCTCCTTACTTAGAACCTTCCTGCCCCCACAAACCTACTGGTTAACTCCCAGTCATCCTTCAGGCCTGAGCTCAAACATCTCTTCCTCAGAAACCACGCATTCAGGGTGGTATGGCCGTAGACCCGATCCTCCAATTTCAAACAGGTCTTCCTGAGACACTCACAGTGCCTATATTTCTCCTTCAATATTTTCTCCCTCACAGACATATCAGTAATTATGAAATATGGTTGCTCATCTGCTTAATGCCTGTGTCCCTCACAATACCACAAGCACTGTGAGAACAAGGACTAGATGTTGTTCATCACTATACACAAAGCATTTATGCCTGGGATTTATAGATTTACATATAAGTTCCCACTCTCAGTGTAATCTTTTACATATCCTATCTGAACATATCCTTAAGAAATCAATTAAAAAACCCAAATACCAGCAATACAACATTAAAAGAATCCCTGAGGTTGAAACATACTTCAATACACTGAAGGGTAAGAATACTTTTAAAGCTCTCCTTTGGTCATTCAAATGACAACCACTGGAAGTACTTTACCAAATGCCATAAGTTCTGAAATAATATAAAATAGTTTATACAGTTGCATTCAAGCAGTACTTTCACAAGTCCTTTAGAATTTCAGTGAATAACCAGTGAACCAAGGCATGTGTGTCTTGCTTCGACCACTAGACTTAAACTCTGGCAGTGCACTGTATTCTGGTCACAACTACACTGATGTTTTACACTTGCAGAGCTCCTCACTCTGTCTTACTATTTGCATACTTTTCTGATAATTATCCTGGAGTGCAAAAAGGATAAACTATTTACTTAATTAAAACACACATTACCTGCATAGAAGACATAGGAGGATCTTTGGAATCAACATACACAGCTTTCAGTAATGACAGCAGTTTGTCATCTTTTCTATCGATTTCTTTCTTAATATCTGGATGGCCTGTGGAAAGATTGTCACAATATTAAAAGCAAAGCAAAGTTCCCTTTGAGATCCTAAACACTTAACACACGCCAGTCACTTTTAGTTTTTTGTTAAAAAACCACCACTTGGACAGTACGAAACGTGTTTTAAAGTAAACCCAAATGCTAGGTCAGGCTCGGTGTCCAGCGGTCTGTGACGCCACCTGGGGACAACTTCCGTGGCACGTAAGTCCTTCTGAAAGTGATTCCCTCCACCAAAAGGCCGTACAGGAAAGGCAAAAAGCCGGCGAGGACCGCGGCAGCCGCACCATTCACCGGTCCTCACCTCCGGGACCCTGAAGCCAGCGGAGCCGCAGATACAATAGCTGGCCCAAGAGGGCTGGCTCAATGTCATCGGCTCGGTGGCTGGACCCGAACCACTGCGGCCGAGTCCTGTCAACCCAACGACCGTATCAACGTCCACCCGCGCGACACAGTCCGCACAAGAAGCCCGCGAGCAGGGCCTGAGCACCCAAGCACCACTTACTCTTCGTCTGATCTCGCAGGTGGCTCTTGGTGGCGGGGTGCCTGGGAGCGGGAGAGGGCTTCACCTTGCTGATTTCCCGTTCCGCCCGGTTCTCGAGATTGACATTCCTGATCGCGCGAATCACCGCAGCCCCCATCTTCTCACAACATGATGCCCTCAGGTTCACACCGCACGTGGGAATCCCGGCGAGGGTGACCCCGGGACGCACCGAGCATGCGCAAATCGGTCGCCCCGCTCTCGCTCCGGAAAACCAGCGCTAAAAGCGCGCCGTTTGCCCCCTTGCGGTTGGGAGGGTACATGCCGCTTCTCCGCCTACAGTGAATCAAAGTGCCTCTCTCCGGGAAGGGGCTCCCAGAGGCGCCTGCCTCAGAAGGGAGGGGACGGACCTTAGGGCTCGGACACACACTGGTTCTCAACTCGGGAGACTCCTGAACACACCCGGGAAACTTTCAAACAGCTCCACGCCTTTCAGACTTTCTGATTTAATTCTCTGCAGTGAGGCCAGACATTGGTTGAAGCTTTTCACGTGATTCCGAAGTTGCAGGCTGAGTAGAGAAAGTCTTAGGATATTGACCTTGAAGTCCCTGCAGCGAAAGAGGGGCCAATAAAAATGCAACTACCTGTATCCGGAATTGAACCCGGATGAAAGAAGGTTTGAAAAATGCCCTTTCCTGCTTTTGTGAAAGGAACGTAATGAGGGCGTGCTCATTTTCGATGAATATTTATTCTGCCACTCTTTTATTTAAATGCCCTTTATTTTCTTGTCCTCTTGCCTGATGCATTTCTGAACCACCCTGTTCTCTTTGTCTTGATTTTTTACATCCCGCTGTCATAACTCATCTGACCTAATTTCATCCATATCACTTATGCTGCCCATCCTTTTCCCTTTATTTTTGAGATTAATTTGTGTTATTTGTCCATACTTTTATTTTGATACTAATTTGTGTTAAATGCTGAATCAGCGCGCCATTCTCATTTTCCCTGCCTTACTCTTTTCTTTTTAAACCAGGGAAACCTTCTTGTAACTTAATGAAAGGAACGCCAATTACACATTCTTTTGAAAAATGGTGTTCCGCGTTCCCCATTTCTGAATTGATTACTGTGTTGCTATTTTTATTTAGATTCTTTAGAAATATTGTCATTAATCCATTATAAAAGAACCTACCAGGAAGTATCAGGGTTTCCAAAGCTACAGTATTTTTCACAGACTGCGACTGCAAAGATCTGCTTTTGGTGTCCCAGATCTGCTCAGCAAAATGAGGTTGGTTGTTGGTTTTGCTTAGTTTTGCTTTCATATCGGGTAAAAGAGAAGAGAGAGTCCATGTAAAGATAACCGACTTGAAGTAATAACTTAAAAAAAACTGGTAGTTTTACTTAAACAAAACTAATGCAATTGTTAAATATATTTAATCATAGCAAAAGTACTACAAGCACCCTAGCTTCTACCATAGATTATCATGAAGAGTTTTTTTTTTTTTTACTGGGATTGGTTTTGGATTATAGAAGTTAAATCCAGTGTTCTCTGGTAGAGTTAGTTGGTAAATTATCCTGAAGGTGGCAGGCTACTCCAAGAATTCCATCTTTAGGACAAGCATGCTCTTAACGTGGTGCTTTTTTTAGCCCAGGTGTTTATAATTATTTTCACAGGTGCCAAGAAATTTTCATCTGCCTCATTATTTCCATGAGCTTCAAAAATTATTGTAGCAATTCCACTCATTGCCTGTTAAAAGTGAAAAACAGTTTTCAAGGAAATCTACCACATTTCTGGCAGCCTGAAAAAGTAATTTTAGACAGAAGTTACAGGCAGTGGAAGTGTAGGTTGCTGTGGGGATCACCACGTGAAAGAATTCCTTGAATTCCCACATTGAGATAGAGTTTGGACTCAACATTTATGGGACATCCAGCTTATGCCAGCTGCTCTGCCTGGTCCTGGCCTGTTGCTGCTGTTTACACCTGCAAGGAACAGAAGAGAAGGCAAGGCAGGGGGACTCACCAGAAGTGCACAATTGCTTGTGACCCCTGACAATCGTTATGGAATTAAAACTTGAACCATGATGACATGATTCCAGCTCTTGTCAAAACATGTAATTTAACAGGAAGGCTGAAGTCAGAACTCCCCCTGGGCTTATGTTAGGGATTGAAGTCAGGTCACCAACTCGAATGCTGCTCAGAATTAAGCGTCTATCTCTGCAGATTGTGATGATGGGTATGTATTTCTGAAAACCTCAAGATGCAAATGAAATAAACTCAGGATCTTGCCAATATACCAGAATATAAATTCTATGAGAAAAAGAATTTTTGTCCGTTTTATTCACTCCTGTATTCGTCACATTGAATAGTGACTGGTACACAATAGGAACTAAATAAGTGTCAGGTAAATCTCAAATGAACTCAAAGCAAGGCCTCTGAGCAGGAGTCCAGGACCTAGACAGTTCTCTATTCCCGAATAACAGCCTCTTTGCTAAAAGTCACTAATTCTGGTGAACTATAGTCCTCACCTTAAAGTTGGGGTAATAGTAATTTTGATGGGTTTCACACAGTTCAAAAATTTAAACTGTCTAGTATGGCTAGAGTGTCATCCTGATATGCCAGGGTCGTGGGTTCAATCTCTGGTCAGGGCACATACAAAAATCAACCAATGAATGCACGAATACATGGAACAGCAAATTAATGTCTCTCTCCTTCTCCCTCTCTCTAAAATCAATAACAAAATAAAGTGTCTAGTATGCTACCTGGCTTAGAATAAGATGTTTCACATTGGCAACGCTTTCATTTTCCAGAGGAGCAGAGAGAAATTTAAAAAGGAACCAAACATCCTGAAGCCCTGGTCTTACAGGCGAACAGAAGGGATACAATAACTAAATATCTGAAAGTAAAGTAAGACCCGGATTCTTCAAAAATTTAGTTTTGGAAAATGGTGTGCTAAGTTTGACTTGTATTTGCTGGTTCGTGTGCTCTGCACACCAGTGGCATCGCACTGCTGGGTTCACTAAGGTTGACTTTGGGCAGCATCATTAACTCAGGAGCACAAAGTGCCACCTGTCTGTGCCTGACACTGGCAGCGGGAATTGTCTCTAACTGGTCTCCCTCACTTGCTTTCCACCCCACTCCTCAATCTTTCTCTCTCTACCTAGACTGTTACCTTTGTGCACCCCTTCCTTTGGATATAATTCAACCACATTCTGTATTCTCCACAGAAATGGCAGTCACTAAACCCAGGATACTGGTGACTCAAGGAGTCCAGGATAGCCCTCAGAGATTTCACAGCCTAAATCCGAACTGCTAGTGGCCAGCTCGGCAGATTTGCAGAGGAATGACTCATCCTGACAGTGAGAACCTGCCCAGGGCCTGGACTGCAGCTCAGGGGCCAGGGCATTACTGGGTCCAACCAAGATCATTTACAACATTCCCAGGCTGGGCCAGTTCCATAGTGATATACAGTGATGCACTTGGTTAACCTACTATTGTAGGTTATTAAACCTTGACTATTTGGGAGAAAAAAAAGCAAAAGCATACTAGGTTGTGAGCAGATCCAGTATGCATACTGAGAAACACGGGATCTCACTGATCAGAATTATCAACTCGCAGTTACACGCAGATGCCTGCTCTGTGGCTGCTACATGCATGACTATTGCTGTGGTATGAGTTTCTTATTAGCACTAACAAAATCACCACAGCAGAGTGCCTTAAAATAAACCAAAATTATTTTATGTTCCTGTAAAGGGCCTTACCAGGCTAAAATCAGAATGTCAGTAGAGCTGTCTTTTCTCCTGGGAACTCGAGGAGAAAATTCCTTGTTTGTTTTTGTTTTGTTTGTTTTGGGTTTTGGCTTCTAGAGACTTCCAGTATTTCTCGGCAACCAGTAATTGATAATCTGTTGTCCTGTCTTCTCTAACTATGACTCTTCTGTCTCCCTCTTTCCCTTATAATACTCTTACAATTATATGGACCTAACATGAATAAGTCCAGAATAATCTCCCCATCTCAGGGTCCTTTATGTAATCACATCTGCAAAGTACCTTCTGCAGGTTCTGGGGGTTAAGAGGTAAACATCTTTGGGGAGTTGTTGTTCTGCTCACCACAGTCATGTCTTCAGAACACTCACATCTACCAGGGTAGCTGCGATCATGCAGTAAACGTCAAAGAGTGATGGGCATAATGCCCAGTGCTTTTCATCCTGGGCTTCACCAAGCTTGTCTTCCAATGAAACTACCTAAATGTTGAAAGAAGAAAACCATCTTGTTTGGATAGTAGCAGTCTTTCTCTCAGCGTTTGCCTAAGAGCCATAGTAGCTTGCTAGTAAATTTGACACTAACTTGCCAGCACTGCACAGGGAGTCTTTCTTTCTTATGTCCCGCCCCCCCCCCCCTTTGGAGTACCTGGATCTGAGAAGGGCTCTTCCTTGTTTGGCTACACAAAGCAACACAACCCATTTCCCTAATCATGGCACCTTGGAGACACCAAGTCTATCATTTTTCTTACTTCCTATTCCTTTATTTCCCTCTGGCTTTAGAATTTTACAATCATCCACCCATATCTTTCAGGATATTGAGGGTTTTCTTCTTTCCTCTGCCTGTACCTACTTTTAAAGGCAGGTACTCCTGGGGAAGGCAGTTAGTTTGCGGGAGAGCCTATGAGTGCTCTGAACCTGCCAACCGGAAGAAGGTAGTTGTCTGAAAAGTGGGGGAGAGAGAAGGAAAGTAGAGGCACAGGTCACGGAAAAAAAGGAAAATGAAAGAGAAGGGAAGAAAGGTAGAAGAAAATAGATTCAGAAGTAGAGAAGACTGTTTATAGCCCTGGACATGGCAAGGAGGCTCCTCGCAGCTCCTCACCTGCAGTTCCTTCTTTGCCCTTTCTCCTTACACAAAGCGGAAATAAACATGAAAAGAAACAATTATCAAAATATGTGGCATGAGTCAAAGCATTATTGGAAGAAAATGTGTGTGTTTCTACTAAATAGTAGGTGTTACAACACTATAAAGATTGAAGGCAAATGAGTTAAGCATTTAAGTCACGACATAAGAAAAATAATATCAAAAAATGTAAAGGACTGAATGATAAATCAGATATAATTATGTAGAAAAAGAACCCAGTTCTTTTAAAATATACTGTCTGACAAATTTAAGTAAAAATAAAGGCATAAATAAAACCCTTTGGAATTTTCTTCCAAAAAATATCATCACAAGTATAAAGAATTTATTTTAACTGGGAGAAAGTGTATACAACTTTAATATATATCTCCTCCCTGTAAGTAACTTATTTCTGACAAATAAAATGTGGCAAATGTGAACAGAATTGAGTTGAATAGGATAGAGCATAGGTA